GTTGAGTCCGAGATTCCTTCCGTCCAGTCATTAGGGCGGGGCCTTCTCAGCCTTGTTTTACGGGTCGGCTCGCGCCAAGCTCGCAATCAGGCCATCCTTTGTCCGCAAGTGTCGACTGATTCGACAGGTCCCTGGACTGTCCAATGTCCTTTCCAGCGTTGAGCTAGTGGCTAAGTGGACCGGTGGATTACCGTGCCTCGTCAAATGAAATCAAAGTGAGCGGTCAAAATTGCATGTGGAAAAAAGACTGATCGATTAGGTCTCACCAAAGCGTTAACTAACATCTCCTTCCGTGTTTAAAACGTGAACTATACGTGGTGGCAATTGGATCTACCATGTTTTCCAACAGATAGCCCCACCTGAGTTCGCCCAACCACGAAACATTGCACCGCGAACTTCTTCAGGAAGGGTCCCTGAGAAGTTAAACACAGGTTATAGTTGCTTTGAAAATAACAAAACGGCAATTGATGAACATGGTTGGTCACGGAGGTCGGGGGACTCGGGGACTAAAAAGGCCGACGCAGCGATCAGTTCGTTGTGGAGTATACTATGTACAGATTAAATGCCACCTAATGTGCCTATAAAGCGTTTCATATAAGGCGAATTTCACAATACCAGAACCATTAGCCAGACACTCATTTGTACAATTCTCTGTCATTGCCCCTTTGACTTCTTGACTCCTTCAGTACTTCCTCGCTCACCAGCCCGAGCCTTGACAAGCACTCTCCAAGAAGGCCAGACTCCAGTTGCGTCATAGCGTAACATCATTGATAGCCTCAACACTCAACCCGAAGCGGCTAGTCTTCTTTTAAGTTTAACGATCTCGGCCTTTGCGGATTCTGCGGGTCTTGGCCCAGGCCACCAGTGCTGCTGTTCCCACTCATCGTACTGGGCACGGGGCTTGGTGGATAATATAGCATAGCCTTGCAAGGCTTGGCAAAGTAAGCCTAGTCGTTTGCAGTTAGATATGTGCGGTAGCCAAGGGGTAGAGGCCCCAGTACGATATTCTGATTATCGCACCTAAAAACTGGTCCATAAAAGATCACCAGTAAACTAGCGAACAAATTGCTATAGTGTCCCCCTTCTGGTTGCTCAGGGTATCTTGACTCTTAATCGCAGCCATGCCTGAGATCACCTCTCTGGTCGCAACAGCAGGAACAACCTCCTCCCTGTTCGTTTCTGGTAGATTCATGAGCTCCTTTGTTTTGAAACGGGCCTTATAATTGTGTGACCCTTGAATCGATCTCACTGCTAATTCTGGCCTGAATACAGGAGCCATCTTCGCATTCTCCGCTGGCGGCGTCAACACTTCGAAATTAGCCACAAAGACCTCTCCAGTTTTAGCCGCGCAGCAATGGCTAAACGTCTTCAACAGATGCCATAAAATCGGCACGCCTATGGTAATCTTCTCGGCAGGGTGTTTTGCGTGGTTGAAGTACAAGACAAACAATAACGTTTTTCTGGCCGCCGCCACTTCGTGTATGTGCATTGTACCCTACACCATTCTCTTCCTCAGCGGACCTGAGAGGGTCCTGTTCCCGTCGGCAAATATGACGCAGGAAACACTCTCTACTCCCAATTCTCGTGAGATTGAACGGGCTCTTGGTCAATGGGAGGTCGCCAATATGGTTCGCATTTTGTTTCCTCTTGTCGGTGGTGTAATGGTCCTAGTGTCTAAGATGTAGGGCTCGCGAGCGCCGGCGTTGTTATTTTCGGGGGTGATCTCGATTGCGGATACTGTGCCAGTAATCCTTACGGCAAACAGTTGGGAGAACACTTTTTGTCCTGAAGAATTGGTCATCCTGATCGAGATTTCCTTGACTCTTGATCTCTCGCTGCTGCAGTGTTTGCCCATTCTGCCAACCTGGCGAATCTAATTAAAATACATGACCCTGCTCTCTTTCCGCTTCTGCAAGAAAGATTGTTAGTGAGTTGCAATAACCAAGTGCCTCAGAAATCGATTTTTAAAGAGAAGCTCTGGCATCTACCAATACACTAGCTGCTTTGATAGATCGCATGCATGTTCTATCACCACTTTAGAAGCTGAAGGTATGAGCGGAAGACCTGAAGTGTTCCTTTCAAAAAAGATGGTTGCAAAAGTACCGAGCTTGACTGCAACCAGCTACATACAGACAATCATCGACAAATCATTGGAGATTTCTGACAATCTGGATGAGTTTCAGGGACTCCCTATGGAGAGGCGACCCAAAGATGGGAGCAAGCTAAGATACATACTCATCTTCCTTGCGATATTTTCGATGCAACCATGAACGGTTAGGATGGCTTCACTCGATTAGTGGAGGATGTATGACATTCAGCCTTCAATACTGGCTGGCTAAATAAGATCCTGTCATGATAATGAGATGTCAGTTTTCTCTATCCCGGGCATTTTTGTCTGCACTGTGTTCTAGGAGAACCTCTACATTGCCGACCCAACCAAAGAGCGCATTTTTACTAATAGTTTACCGGCAACAATAAGTGACAATGTTCGCCTTTGCGGTAGGGGAGTGAGATTCCCAGTATGACTCGATCGGTGGTTGATATCCCCGATTTCAGACTGGTCCAGATTGTTCCGTTGAAGTCAACCAGACCTCAGTAACCACCATGTTATTCAATGCAAATTTACAAAAGCCTCCTCTCTCGGGTCGTGTGGGTGCATAATGACACTTACATTCATCATGAGAGGTTTTAACTTCCAGCGAGGATTCATGGAATTGCAACGGTCTAGGGCAGCCAGATGAATAAGCATAGCCGCCGTTCGCGGATAATGTTCTAAGTTACCAGAAAGTTGCCCCATCCACCTACAGAGTAGTAAATAGAAATAAATGAGTGTTCCTTGGCATACACAACACAACGGCAGAAAAGTCATGCTCGACGTGTGTCGCAGATCCAGTCGCCCACCACATAGTGACGACATTGGAATTGTGTCCTGGCTTTACCTTGTAATTATTTATGTGCTCACTGACACTGACGAATGTTACCGGCTATCTATCCATGGAAGCAGTAATTCGATTCTTATATGCTCCAAGGGTTAGAGGATCATTCGATCTCCATTTAACTTGGAATCCAGCCATGGTTTCCACTTTCTACTTCTAGGCTGAGTTTCTGCACCAGCACTGCGAAATATGCGCCACAAAAAATATTTAAAGAACCTTTAGCACAAAGATCCTAACGCTTATATTCCAACTCGCAGTTTTCGTTAGAAGCTAGTGAATTTTCTATAACTTATTCCCAGAATGCAAGGCCGCCGTATTCACCTAGTGCGCCATGCGGAAGGTCTTCACAATTTGCGCAATGACCCTACAATTCCCAACGCTCCTTTGAGTGAACGAGGTTTTGATTTCGCGGAAGACCTAGGACATCGCTTTATCCGCCAATACTCAAACAGCGTCGGCGCAGTCATATCCAGCCCACTCCGCAGGGCTATCCAGACATCCTTGACAGCATTCCACCGGATCTTGGACTCAACCCAGTATCCTAAAAATTCCGGTTCGGGTGTTAATAACGGATTGATGTTAGCCCTAGATGCCAATTTGCAGGAAATTACCGACCTGCCATCTAATAATGGCTCCACTGTGGATGAGTTAACAATCGAATTCCCCGGAATGAAGTCAGAAATACAAAAACTGCACAAGGACTGGCATATCAAGGCAGGGCCTCGCTCGCCCCTACCACAGTCTTTGTCTCAGAGGAGGGCTGAGATTCTAGACCGGCTAGAAAAAGCCCTAGCAGATTTACAAAATGAACCAATTGGCGACGACATTATCGTTGTAACCCATCAAGGTGTAATTGCCCTGCTTGCACCCACTGCAAACATTCCTGTAGGGCAGTGGCAGACCTTTCACTTAGCCAGAGAAAATGGGCTGCTTTCTTTGAAATGAAGGGCAATTAGTAAATGTGGTTGGGAAAATCGTCATGTTGAGAAGGGCGCTATTTGAATGGATGGAGCATTTGGATAAGGCCATGCTAGGCAAGAACGTCCAGTGAATAGGCGTTCTTGGCACTATTTGTCGAAATCGAATCTAACAGTGCCTGCTTATTGTGTTCTGCTGCATCATACCTCCATGCCATGTTGTTAGAATGTTGCCGCATATGCAAGGAGATCAATGGAATAGGGTCATTCTAAAGCGGCCAATCTGGTCTCAGAGAGGCTGAGGTACTGGAGGATACTCCACACCTACCCCGCTGAGAAGAGAATTCACATGAGCGTCAATAAGCAATCTTCTGTATGACAGTCCATGGCGATAACATCACTTTTTGTGTCGTGCTACAAAGACGGTACTTTCGCTACCAGATGCTTGAGTATAGAGGACAACTCCTCCTCGCCACTACCCTCTGCTCATCGTGCCAATATGTGATCTCTAGAAAGGATTATAATATCAAGTCACATTCGCCCGCAAGGAGCTTTTGTCGATAAGGAACCTGTGAATCAATTGCGATTCCGGGAAGCCTTCTGTTTGCAGCCAAATTTCTCATCTGTAATGACATAAGAGCAAATGGCGGGAGCATATTATCAGTTGCGCGGGGTAGACCCATGTATTGGGTCCCATAGCGAGTCTCCTGACATTGGGTTAGATTTTTGCCGCATAAATTACTGGTGTACAGATAGTGGCTTCTGAACGGACCTGACAATCCCTGGTTAGTCTAGCGAGAGTCGGTCACCTTAGAGCATCAAAGCGCCGTTTTCGTACAGTCCAACATTGGTATTTTGCGATTATCCCCCCTCGAGGCTCGCTCATTCACGATCAATCAATCAGCCGGTCGCTCAGGTGATTCATGGTCGAAGCATTGAATATAACAGTTTGGACCATATCAGAGATCGTGGTCATGGGTCAGTGGAATGCCTAGCTATTAATTACTCTCGCAGCTTTGCCACCATCTACCACCGTAGTATAAAAGTAGAAAAGGTCACATCTACCTTATCTTTGTAAGTGAGCGTCTGAAAATCCCTCCATTCCAACAATACAAACTCGTTTAAAGTTGAAGCTTTGTTCATCGCCATGTCCTTTGACAGAGACCCGAACGTTGAAGTTGTGCGAAAGTATGACGGTGCAGTTCAAAGCCTAGACCATGCGCAACAGCCGTGGTCCCCTGAGACCGGTCTAGACGGTCCATCCGATCCTATAAGCACTGCCCATCAATATCTTCTTAAGGTGGCAGATGGCTACGAAATCCCTCAGGGCGTCCTTGGCGAGACTCCTACCGAATTATCTGAACCGGCCAGTCCCACAGACGCTCCGTTTGGCCTCAAACTGGTGCAAGAAAGGCCTCGCTTTAGGAGCACAGCAGTGATCTACCAGCAAACATTGGGCGGGTTGCCTGTGTGGAACGCCAAGCTTAGTGTCACCGTGAACGAGGAGAATCAGGTACTCAACTCATCCAGCAGCATCGACACAAAAGCCTCCAAACCAGAACCCCCCCCCGGGACGATGCTAAATACATGCAAAACGACGTTACGGAGGAGGATCTTGGCCAATTATTAGCGCTTCCAGTAAGCAGAGGCGGAATCTACTTCAAACAAGAGCAGAAGCACCAACGCCTTCTCGTCTATCGCTACCACAAAGATGATAGACAGGAGATAGCTGGGGATTCTGCACCTACCCTAGTTTTGCCCGAAGTCCCTGAGATAATCAGAGATGGACAGTACTATGTGGTGAGAGAAGTTCTTTTCTCTCTTCCGATCTCTGGATATGGTGACCTCAACTGGAGAGCATTTATTGAAGTCGAGACGGGCTCTGTCGTCTACTTGCAGGCGCTCACAGCTGGTCTAAGTGGCTGGGTGTTTGCCCGAGACCCCGCCACAAAGCTCGGCCAAAAAGCTCCCACAACAAGTGGCAGCATTGTTGACTTGAACCTGCTACGGGACAAGGTTTTCCTTCCTGACACAGTTGCGACAACCCCTCAAGCTCTCACAGGCAGATACACTGAAATCAAAGATACTCAGTTGCCTTTGAGTCTGCCCCCAACGACAACCACTGGAGAATTCAATGACAGCGTTGAGACAGACAATTTTGCAGCTGTCAATGCATACTATCATATTACGAAGCTGTTCAGGCTTCTGGCTGAGCTGGGTTTCCCGGTTAAAACTTTCTTCGAAAACACCAAATTTCCCGTCCCTGTTGATCATCGTGGCTTCAATAACAAGGTAAATGCTCAAGCCCCGGGAAATGCAACTGGTAACGGCTCTGGAGGCTTTGTTTTTGGCCGGGCTGATCTGAATCCGAATTCGCAAATTGGTATTGCTGCGGATTTCCGCGTCGCTGCACACGAGTTTGGCCATGCACTTCTGTGGGATGCTATTCACTGGCCAGGATTTGGTTTCGCCCACAGCCCTGGCGACTCACTGGCTGCCATATACTGTGATCCTGGAAGTAATGCACAAGATCGATTTGATACATTTCCTTGGAATGTTCGTGTTCGTCGCCGCCATGACCGCGAAGTCACTGATGGCTGGGCATGGGATGGACCCCAATATAGACAAGATGACAACGCGTATTATCTTCGCGAGCAGATTCTATCGACCACTCTTTTTCGTCTCTATCGGGTCATTGGTGGAGATGCGATCGGTGATTTCCACAAGCAGAACTGGGCGTCAAGGTACACTCTGTATCTGATCATCGGAGGCATCGCTACCATCACAACAAGGGCCAGCATGCCGTACCAATATGTCTCCGCAATGATATCTGCGGACAATGGTACAGTGCTTGGCTATCCCGGTGGCGCTGTCAGGAAGCTTATCCGCTGGTCATTTGAGAAACAGGGCCTTTACCATCCTCTAGACACTCCGAGCCCCGGGGTCATGACAAGAGGGCCACCTCCAGCTGTGGACGCTTACATCGATGATGGTAGAGATGGCGAGTATGACTATGCTCCTATGTCCGGGAGCCCACCTGGTATCTGGAATCGCCAAGCTCCAGATGGTGGTCTGGTCGACCAGGCTCCCATTGTCGGAGTTACAAACTACTGTTACGTCGCGGTGAAGAACCGCGGAACAGAAAATGCGCAGAACGTCAAGGTCACTGTATATGAGTCTACTATCCCAGAGCCAAGGGTCTGGCCAGCCCACTTCCAAACACCGGGCACTGTTGTGCCAGTTAGCGGGTCTATCAGTGGAAACCGACAACAAACTGAGATTGCTGGGCCATTCCGATGGACCCCCAATTCAAATGCCTCATTTGATAGGTATAGCTTGCTGGCTGCTGTCCGTGCTGACGGTGACCTCCCAAACATTGACGCCAGCAGTGGCCTGGCATGCGCAGGTGGACCAACAGATATTGGCAATCTCATTCCATTCGATAACAACCTGGCAATGCGGCACTTCGACCGGTAAGGATTCTAACTAAGTCCGAATTGCCGTGCAGCACCAAACACAGTTTAAATCACTAACAGCTGAAGAAAACCAATCTTTTTGATTTAACTCTCCCCTTATTCAGTTCCTTCGCATCACGCCTGCTGTGCTGAGTTTCAATATTGGCTAAAGATGTCCGGTACGAGGAAGCTGCATGCTCGCATGAGAACTGTCCGATCTTGCATGATTTGAAAAGTTGCTCCATTTCACAAATCCTTTTGCTATTTTTGGCATGAGATGGTGACTTTCTTGCCCTGCTAAGTCGTCCTGGCCGCGGAAGGAAGTCGGAGAGAAAAGGAAGGAAAAAATTGCGGAAGGGATTTTGTCTTTGCTTTTAGGATGTCTCTTTCAAGAAAAGTTGCTTTTTGTCATGGCTGGTCTATTGCTTGTAGCCTAAACAGAGAATGGGGTTACGCGAATGCGCCTCTTCTCACAGGAATTTCTCTATCGCATGCTCCGTATAGCATATTAACCAATTCAATTAGTCTCATAATGCGCTTATAGGCATAGGAGTTTAACTATGATAATATAGGGGGACTTCTAAAAATAATCTTCAACTTCCAATTCTCTCTACAAAGAAGGTGTATAATTTCCTAATAGTCAATGTCCCTTTTGAATGTGTCCTTAGTATAACATGGCCATTAATTGGATGTCAAGTCACCTCTAGCACGCTCATATCTTTCTTGTTTGTTTTTGTGACGGTCTCGAGCAAAATCAATGGCCGGTATGGTTTCGTCTTTTTAGTGAATTTTCAGCTCGACGGCTCGCAGCAAAAATACCAAAACAATCCAAGGTATGAGTGGCCACACCGGCCATCCGAAGCCCTGTACCGTGCATGCACCAGGTCGGATTGGCGCCAGGACCTAAAAAGATATCGAGGATTTCATGGAGGTTATTCTGAAAGAGCAGTGATTCTATTACGGGTTCAGATGGTGGGCGACTTGCTGAAGCTAGTGTTACTCAGGAGTGATTTTGAAGGATAAAGCCTAATTATAGACTAATAATTTGCTTTATCTGGAACAGGCCTTGCATCGAGTTAACTGGTTTGGCGTGCATGCCCTTCGGGCAAGAAGGTTGCTGATATGATATGCCGGGTTGTGAGACAGTAAGCGTTGGTATCCAGCACGGCGTCCCTCGAATAATGTCTCGGGATCAGAGCTGGCAATCAGAATTCCCTTGATCTATGGGGTACATCGGGCCATTGATACTCGAGACCGGTGACTATACACATATCTCCGAGCCTCACGAGTTTGATTGCAGCTCAATTTGATCTTCGGGTAACTCTGAATCGAAATTCACCCTGCGGAGGTGTAGCCATTGCAAACGGGCTTCAAAACTTTGGGCTGAGACCCTTCGACCTCTACGAGGATGCTGCCTGCTCTTGTCTCTCTTTGAACTCATCTGTAAACATGGCTGAGAAAGCCTCGGAATCTCTGCAGAGAAGAGATCTCGAAACTGTATATTCATACTCACCAGGATTGATTCGAACCGCGACACAAGGATCATAAAAAAATGCCCGGAAAAGCACTCGGGGGACATGGATTGCCGGCTCGGTTCCCCCAGCTGGCAGCGTCTCTAACAGACGGAGAATCAAAACAGCATGGATGGCACAGCGCAGGCCGTCAGATGAGTTTGCCCACGCCCGGACATAGCTTGTATTGCGCTGAGCTTCATCAAAGCCTTCACGCCCAAGCGCTTGCTCTAAGCGGTCCAGATCAGCTAGGAGGCTAAGGAAGTTGGCATGCCAAAGAGCCTGCTGACAGTATTTATCTTTATCCCCTTGCGGAAACGAGAGCTGCTGGAAAGGATGAAGATAGCGGTCGTAGAAGCTCATCAGAACTGGTTGGTATTTCACTAGGAGCAAATCTCTCCTGCCATTCTCTAGAGAGTCCGTAGCATCCCTAATGGCTGAGGTGACTCCTTCTAGCTGAACATACGAGCGAAATCCTATCGCTTGACTGGGAGGTGAGGAGAGGTTAATATGTATCCCGGGTTGTTTAGCTCGACGTCGCACAGCATTACCCCAGGCCTGCGCAGTTGGAGCCGTCCAAAGATCGTCCTCGGATACTAGATCGGACGGCGAAAGGTGTCGCAGAAGAGGCTCACTGAGTAATAGTTCGGACAGTTCAGCGTCCAGGATGGAAATCGCGGCCCAGAGCCTGGCTAATGAGTTAGTTGTTAGCTCATAGATCCTATTTTATCGGTAAACTCACCGGATCTCTTCTTCCGCCTGAGACCATACTCTCCATGCCCACTCAGGTGCGCGCTCAATATCTTCTATATTGATAAGGTCAATTGCGCGATGACTGGAGAAGAAATTCTTTCTTTTCGCCCACTAAGTTTCGTAAGCATACATCGTCATATTGGTAGATATATACATAATAAGATAAGCTTACAGTGATCACCGTTCCATGGAATGTCTGTACGGTTAATAAGTCTTTTGGCCTCTGCGGAACACGGATTTAATTGTGACACTTACTACAAGAAGACAATTCTTTATTTGAGCGGGGGGAGCAACTTACCCCTGATAACATCCCAAAGGTCTGTCCGATTAAAGCCGCTTGAACCATAGACAGGGCTTCAGATTTCTCTCGAACTATATGTGTTTCCCACTTATCCAATTCGTCAAGGGTAGCATGAGGAGGTTGCCAGAAGATTAACTACGAACCGAAGAAAGTATAGCTTTGTTGAGAGTTTCGAATATTCGAATCCCTTGTTGAGTTGCATGGCTAGAACCTAAGAAAAGGCAGCCCATTGAGCAAATTGAGAGCAACAAGAGAGACCTCTTCACAGACGGGCGAAACGTCGGTTGATGGATGATGGGAAGTATCTCATTGAAGCGTGTGAAATACATTCGGATACACATATTCTCAAGCCGAGTCAGAAGCACTCCCAGTCATAAGTTCTACCGCAAGACATACCAAGAAGTCCGTTGACGGCAACGGCGCTCCAGTGATGCGCTGCTGCAGACGTTGTGCCAAGTTATCCCGATCAGCATCGTCAATGTGGATACTGTCAGGTCTGCCACCGGGTGTGTCGTAGCCGGTACCAATGCCATCAACGAAGGTAAACCATCGCCGGCGAACCGTGTCTTCAAGTCGTTCAGGTATGGCTGTAGGGGCGCCACTCACGGGGAGCGGGACTAAGGCAGGGGGTTCCATGAGTGGGGCGGGGGTTTGATCATTGAATGGCATAGAAGAAGTGATGACAGATGCATTGAACGCGCTCAAATCGAAGTCAGCATCTGCCAGCCATGCTGACGGCTGTGAGGCCCAGTCTACCGGCCAGTCATAAAAACCCACCGGCAGGGGGTCCTCTTGGCATGACGAGCTGACTACCAGGTCTCTGGTCGACCGGGCAGCTAATAGAGGATTTGCGTGTGAAAGGGAATCTTGTGCTGAGTTTTCCATCGACTCTGGCGAGAGTTCATGAATTTGAAGCGTCTCGTTTTGAATAGGTTCACCTGCTGCATTGGCCGCTTTCTGGCTTTCTACCTGCGGGCTGACGCCATGAGACCTCGCATGACGGAGCAGGGAATCATATCGAGTAAAAGACTTTGTGCAGGTGGCACACGAGAAAGGCTTTTCACGGGTATGGCGTCGGACATGCCTAACCAGGTGATCCTCTTTCGAAAAAGACTGAGAACACCAGGGACAAATGCGCTCACGCTTCCTACGGGGACTTGTCATTCTGAGGGTGTGTGGTGGAGTTGGATACCATCGATACAGGCTGATAGGAGCAGAGGCTGAGGACCGCAAAGTTGTGGAGGAGAGCAATTGAGTCTCGGGAAATGTCCTGCCATATTCTGCCGCGGGAGGTATTATACAGGAAAAAGTGCATCAGGTGGGGACATGGAGCGGGTGATCAAGCATGGGTATTGTGGGGAAGCCCTGCATGACGCGCCGGGCTTTGTTGGCTTTTGACAGCGTTTCCCATACGTAGGACTTACAGAACACCTCTCAAGCACCAGGGAGCCACAAAGAATATTTTATTGCACCCTTCCTATTCTACCTCCACTGACTTTCATCCCCGGGAGACAATCATGTGGTCATCAGTCGGGTTTCGTGTCGCCCAAACCATTGGCTTCACTGGTGCCGCCTGGCTTTCTGGTAAGCGCTAACTACTGCGAAATTGCATTTCCTAACCACAATCCCCATAGGTAACATCGCCGCCCTGAGCATGAACGCGGTCCCATCCCTCCTCCGAAGCCAGAAAGAAACCAACATCCCTCTGACAGCAACCGCAAAGCAGTGGCGAGCAATCTACGAGGCCGGCAAGGCCCAAACCCCCCCCC